TCCGAAAAATTTAAGTTATATTTTGAAAATGTAATTTTTCAAACTAATTTATATGAAAGGCAGATTTGCACATTGAGTTTCTCTTTAGATTAAATTTTAGCCTGCAATTTTACATAAGATTGGCATTACCTTTTACTTTCAATTCAAGTTATAAGGCTGTAAAAAATTTAAACTGTTAATTTATAACTTTCAGAAGAGGACAGTTAAAAAAAGTAATTTTTTTAAGAAATTAGGTACATCTTTTTCTAAGAACGGATTTTTTTTACCTGCTGGTGTATATTAAAATCCTAAAGATTTACAGCTACTTAGTGTTTTGAGCAAAAAATAGATAATGTTTGATTTTTTAAAGCACGATCAGTATAGAGTCTACCGGGGAACTCTTTCGTTCGAAAATTCATTGTTGTATCCTATTTATTCTGTTTAGAGTCAAAGCTGAACGAGTACACATCAAAAGGGAATAACTAGTTTCAAGTTCTTACAGCGAGACACTGCCGTTAAATATTTCTACACAGCACAAGGATACTGATCCACTACAGAAGCGCACATGTGTGAATCGAGAAGTTCCGAAACGGCTGGACGAGTGTGAAACATGACGAGAAAGCAGAACGGCCGACTACCACCTCCACGTCATTATCCACACTAGTCTAGAACATTCCGAAGCTTCCAACTCACACTTGCACACTCATGCAGCAGATCGATATCCCCAAATTGTGTAGATCTGCTATATCATCGACTATAAATGCTGTAGTACTGACTGTTTTTCAATCACAGTCTATTAATATATACGTGCTATCAGATTTAAATTTGGTTCTCGACAACTATGAAATGATACAGTTGCAATTTCGATGTAGTATCTCACAATTTACTTAATCGACAATTTAACTTAGCTCAAAATTGTTAGCGATTACAAAAGTTATATGACCCCGATTTCTATTTATCTATAACATTTTGTTGAATTTATATTTGCATAGAAGATTTCTCGCCCGTTTTAGCAATGATCCGCTTAGGATAGAATTCAAATCAATGAATTTGTAGATTAAAAAAAACATGTCTCGGAATTTGCAAATCTGCTTTTCATATAATAGTTGAGTAAACAAATTTTTATTAAACTAGCTTATTGTTATCTATGTCATTAATTCTTAAGTATTAAACGCAATCGCAACATACTATGAGAAACGGAAAATTCAAAATTTTACTGTTAGATTTAAAAATGAACACATTAAAACATTTGCTTATACTTTACCTAGTGGATTGTTTCGGCTTCTGTTCAAATAGTAGATTCAATTTTCTATCAAATTTTGCCTTCTCTGACCAAGAACCTATATTTGTAGCTTTTTCATGGGATCGGTATAGTTAAGAGAAATAGTTCAGTTTAAAAATCTATGTTCGAGAACTCTTTAAACACTTATTTGGGTGGAAATCAATATTTACTTTACGTAGCACCAAAATCAGATTTTTGAAAATCTTAAATTGGTAACATTTAATTTATACGTTAAATCTATTATTTTTTTAAAATCACGTAATCTATTACAAATACTAAATAGCCATTTCATTTTATTAGATACATATGCACGTTGAAAGATTTAAATTTCCTTAAAATTTTAAAATTGAATTATCCTAAATTTCAATAGGATGAATAAATCTGGTTGTAATAAATACTAAAACATACACAACTCATATTGTTTTAAATTTACGAATAAATTTAAAGACTTTTGATGTAATACTCGTATTAAGTTCACGTTTCAATTTTTGTTATGTAACTTAGTTTTGAAGTAAATTCTATAATTTGATTTAGACTTTGAAGATCGATAGGAATTATGTACCTATTTTTGAAATTATCAAATTATTAAAACTATAATTTATCAGATTATGGAATATTCTATAATTATTAATTTGTGTATGAACCTTTTTTTTAAACTAAAATCTACCATTTATGCTTTGAAAACTAATTTGTCTAATACCCATTTTTCTAGTTTTAGATCAGCTTTATGTCTAGTTAAGGATCCAGTATAGTTAAATAAAGTTCCTCATATCGTAATGCCTAGCAGGTGTCATGCGTTATTCTTTTTAATAGCTATGCAAGTTTTAAAGCTCGCTGAGTACTTTCCAGGATGTTTAAAACCTGGGTCGAAAAGAGATTGATGCTGTGGATGTACGGCTCTATATGTGAAACGTTGTCAACCTTTAATCGATTCATACTTAGTCGAAAACAATTTATAATGAAACTAATTTAATATACAAGAAAGAACGTTTTTGAAGTCTACCCGTATTACAGCGGGATTTGAGTCACAATAGTTAGCTGGACAGCCTAATGTGTTCAGAATTTGTTTTAGTTTATACAAAGTCAGAAATTAATTTTTATCTTTTATAGTCATTAAAATAGATGCATGTTTTTAAAAATGTGTGCGTATCTTTAATGCATCTGTTACAAAATTTTTATTTTATCCGAATTAGAAATTTCAAAATTCGAACAAAGCTGAATTTCAGTATTTTCAAAATATTTCTAAACGTTTTTTCCACGTTATTTTCATTAAACTTGGAAAAATAACTGAAAATGATCGAAACTGCATAATTTTAATTAAAAAATTTTACCATCTCATAATTTATAAAAATCTAATATAATTTTAAAATATAAATTTTGAATATACTCTAAATAAAATAACTTATACCGCGTAACTATGCCCCATTGTTTAAACTTATTTAGCCGCCGAGTCAATGAATTGATGTTAGCTTATGGTTAAAATATGTGTTATAGTTAGTCTCATGTTAGTAGTTAGCCCGATGATGAATGAATAATATGAATGCATAACGAAATTCCTTTAACATGAATTGCTTTAAATTTGCTCATCCTGAGATATTTACATTTAAAAAAGGGATAACTCAAAAATTTTCCAAATTTACTTTTTGAAACTATGGCTAAATAGTGCGTCACCGATTCTTTTAAAATTTATAAAATATCCTTTTATCACGTGCTATACTCATAGCCAGTTTCGCATAACTAAACTAACCGAATCATCCGTAATAGTGTTCAGTGTTTAAATATTTAGTTGAACAGATACTTTTGAGCACTGAATATGTATCAAAACGGCTATAAATATTTAAGAGGTGAGATGAAGCAAATTGAGGTAAATCCATTTAAAGATTTTCGTTATGCAAATAGACTCGGCAGAGAAATAAGATTAAAAACAAGACTAGTTTTGTAGAAGCCCATTTATTAATGTATCCAATATATTTTATTAGAAATATAATTTTCGTTTATCTTAAGAAAATCAACTGACAATTTGAAACATTTTATTTACCAAACTTCTTACTAATTTAACATTTTCAGAGCATGCGATAATGTGTATAATTAGTGCTAACTACAGATAAAAGTTTCTGTTACCCCAAAGCGTGTTAAAAGCTACCAGTTTTCTTTTGAGTGACAAAATTAGAACATTTCTTGAGAAAAACCTCTACTGCGTTCCGCTGCGCTAACTTAATTACTAGACAGTCTTGATTCTTCATTAATTTTCTTTTAATAGTTTCGTTCTCAAACTTTATATAATGCGCATTAATTCTTTTAAAATTTAGTTTGAATACATAGAATTGTTATTAGATACTACATAAATGATGGACAAATTATAAATTTAGATTTGTTTAGTGAAATTTATCATACTGCTACGTAAATAAAAACGTAATGTGTAAAGTGCTAACTACACAACATTGTTTTCCATCAAAGCTAATTAAGATTAGGACAAAAATAAAATTTGAAAAATGCGATGCTATGACGCTACAGCAATTCATTAGCTTGAAGGGTTTTAAATAATTTAAGTGATAGGTAAACAAACCGACAGATCCGGAATAGTAAGATAAGATTTGTATTTCGAATAGTACGGGTTACTTTAAAATCGTAAACTTGTATTTAATATGTATTTTACTGATGAGGAGGGATTTATTCATAACTATCAATTTGATACCGTGTGTTTTATTGAGGTAAAGCTAAATTTGCGATATTGTATGTTCTGGTTTTACGGTTTCCAAACATCTAGTTACCTCAGTTTTGAAATTCTAAAATGTCTATTTAATAAACTACACCGGATTTTACGTGCCCGCTTGAATTTTTTTTGAAGATTAAAACAAGTTTAAGACTTAGTTTATTGCCAGCAAATTTGAGATGCGAATTTTGTCTATTAGATATAAATTCCTCAAATCTTTTTGCTTAAACTTCAGATTGAGTTTATTTTAATCGTAGACTTTGAAATTAACCCACATTTACTTCAACCGATTGTAAAATATGAAAATAACGCAAGATGTATTTGGTGGAAATACATTGAAAAGGAATATTTAAGAATTTGTAATATTACAAAATAAAATATGATATAAAGTTTTATTAATCTAAATGTATGTTTTGTCTGAAAATCGAACGAAAGTATTTTAATTTTTAATAATTCTCTGAATTTAGTATTTTGAATTTAAATTTAAAACTGGTACACTAAAAATCTTTTGAGTATTACAATTTTAGATTTTAGCTCATGTACTGAACCACAGTTTAAAGGAAAAAGCACCAATAAAAACTAGTTCTTTTGCTCTAAACTTTAATTCTTCATGAATTTTATGTCATAGCTGATAACGGGCAACAGATAACAATAAGCTTCTCTTAAAAAATTTCAAGACCATTAACAGTACGAATATATAACACATAGCCGAGAGATAAGATAGGGTGCATCTAATTTGCAGAGACTAAGATTTCAACTATAATTAATTTAAGACAATAAATTGTTAAATATTACTTAAAATTATTTAAGACAAAAATTTTTAGATTTGATATAAATAAAAAAGGAATAATTAGGTAAATACGATTTAAATTATTCTTTACGTTTAAGAAAAATACTTGAAATTAACTTTTAAACGATGTACTCTAATTGCATATAATTTATAATTATGGATTAAGATTTAATTAAAAATATTTATATAGCTTAATTCTCATAAGAGAAAATATTTATATTTCTTAATAAATAAAATACCGAAAATTGAATTTTATTATTCAAGGAGAATATTTAAAATAAACCTTTTGTTCAGTTGAAGAAATCAGGTACAGTCAGCGCTTCTGTTATGTCGACTAGGCAACTGAAGTAGGTCATCTCAGCAGAGTACGATCCTCTGGAAACTAGGTCAGTCATGGAGATCTTGGCAGACAACATGGTAACTAGGTCAGTCATGGAGATCTTGGCAGACAACATGGTAACTAGGTCAGTCATGGAGATCTTGGCAGACAACATGGTAACTAGGTCAGTCATGGAGATCTTGGCAGACAACATGGTAACTAGGTCAGTCATGGAGATCTTGGCAGACAACAGGCCTCATGGTAACTAGGTCAGTCATGGAGATCTTTCAAAATTTGATCCTCAAGGAATCTGGCGATGAAGTACTCAATGCAAAGCCTAGTGTTAAGAATGCAAAATGTCTTTACTCTTTTGGTCAAATTAACATAATAATTTCACTCTAGTCAGAGGCAGTGTTTGGTATTGAATCAAGTAAAGTTTTATTCATAGAGTCTGCATTATTTAACAAAATTCTTAAATCTTATAACGGTGATCATATTAATCCGAACATTTAATTCCTGCTCGTAGGACCTCTGAGCTATGTGCGTACTTTTAAGAACGCTGGAGTAACACAGAAATCTATATTAACAAATGCAGACGAAGTTCAAATGAGAACTTAATGGCGTTGTCAAAATTTCGATTATCCAAAACTCTAAATAACCACGGAATGAAGAGATTTATCTTTTGACCGTGAGGGAACATTAGTCTGATATTCATTAAGATTATTATTTTAGAGCTTTGTGAAACACGACTAAATTTATTAGCCTCCTGATCAGTAGGAGATTTTATCAGCAGAAGTTAAACATCTGCAACCAATAAACTAAATTAAACATAAGTTTTAGATATGACGAAAGTTACATAGGACGCAATACTAATGCTATAAAGTTTTGTCCAAACAAGTTCAGTTTTTCAGCGAGACAAAAGTTTAGTACTTTAAAACCAACTAAAAGCCGTAGTGGCCCCCTAGCGTTCGCTTCCAATCAATGATTCTGCCTAAGCATAGACTGGTCGATACAAATTCTGCTCTTTGCTAGCACCGACCACAGTGCTGACGTAAAATATAGTCTATCGGAGCATGAGTTAGAAGCTCCTTGCCGTCAGATTGATCGTGGAAGGATTTACACAATTTTAAGGCTACATTTTGTAAGCAGGGCTTTAAAATTAAATTTAATGTAAAGTTTATACAAGGTTTCTGTTCACCTGGAAAGTCATGAATTTCTGTATTGAAATAAATTTGTCACTCACAATATAACTCTTTTTTTTTTAAATCTAAAATCTAATGAAGCAGAGTATGACAGTTTTGGTTATACCTATCATTTCAGTTAATTTTATTATAATGCTTTAAATTTATTGCTATGTTTTTGTCGGAGAAAATAGTAACTTCGTTAAGTCATAAAAATTCTTGGAATTAGTCATGAATTTGAAAATCTAAAATGTAGCAGATACCCTGTTTAAAAATGTATAAAATATTTGTCAAATCAACTGAATTCAAAACTACTCATTTTACGCTAACAACTCTACAGTAAATTTTATTTCATAAATTACAAAAATATGTAGATTAATGTTATTACCCGAGTTTTTAACAATTTTATAATTTCAAAAAGAATTAAAAACTATATAGTATTAAATTTTTAAAGATTTAATATGCTTAAAGCTTGATAAAACAAATTCACACTTGCACCATTATACAAAATCTACATGCAAAAATTTCAAGGAAGTGAACTTTTGCCTTGTGTGCTGGCATAAAAGTCTCCAAATCTATGTTCATAAAATGCATTTTAATTTGAACAAAATTTTGAGAACAAAAATTGCGAAAATTTCAGAAAGATACTTTTCTTAATAAATAAAATTTATATAATGATAAATAAGTTGTAATTTATTTAAATAAAAAAGGTTAAATTTTCAAAGCTTAAATATTTAAGTGTCTTCAGCGGTCTACAGTCTCCTTGAAAAATTAGACGCACTATTAGATTCTATGTAAAATCTTAATTATCAGATATTATACAGATTTATTGTTCTTGCGCGACTGAAACCGGTTTGCACTTGCTTACGTTCGTGTAGCAATTCATTAAATTAGGCTATATAAAATAAACGATTAAAAGACAAATATAGAATATTTATTATATCCCGTATTATATTTATATACATAATAATTAGACCCACTGTAGTGCTCTAATAATTGCATGTTTTGCACAAAGGCAATAGTTTAATATTTAAACACACATGTAATGGGTTTTAATTCAAGAGTTTTTATATACTTCCTGTTTGTATTTAATTTTGACGTTTTGCACTTGAATGTTAACCAATTACCCGGACGTAAACAAGTGCAAACCGGTTTCAGTCGCTTAAAAACAATAAAGTTGTATAGTATCTCCTGATAATTAAGATTTTTCGTAGAATCTTATAGTGCATCTAATATGGCCGTACCTTCATTTTCATTTATCAGTATGGAAAAATTACCGTAATTTCTAAAAATCGGAGATCAAAAAGAGTTTTGAAAATCCAATGAATCTCCTCGTTGAAATCAAACAAGGTTAATAAAATTCTAAATTTTCGTCGAAATAACCTATTTTTTACCTAGTCTAATACCTTAAATTTTTATTTATGGAATCGTTCAATGCGTAAAGTGTTTTATAATTCAATAAATGATAGACTAGAATAGATACATTAACACTAGATTGCCCATTACACATTAACACAGATACATTAACACTAGATCGGTCTTTCAAGTCATTTTGACTGCTTTTTAATTTCGATTAGAAAAACAATGATGCATGTAATGAAAAAATTTCTTAGAATTTTATGACTTTTTGTACAACATAATTTTTTTATTGTTAATATTTACTAATAACTTTTTATGTAACTGCAAATCTATGAAAGATAAAGATTTAAAGTTTTATTATATGAGGATTTAAAGTTATATAAAAGATATTAAAAATTTTAACCAATTTCTTTTATACATTAGTTATTCTTTCACAAGGTAGTCATTTTGACTGCTTTTGGGCAATTTAGGTATTTACTAAATTTCGATCTTTCAAGTGTTATATAAAATTTATTAAACAATTTCTTAATTAGATCAAAATAAATCTAAGCTTACTTACCCATCTAAATCTGATAACGATAATCAACATTCTTCTGCAAGGAATAGATTTTTAATCTAGCATAAGCCACTTTCGATAGTAGAATATCAAACATCTATTTTATGGTAGATTCTTGGATCCTGCAAGGAAATAGGAAATGTCATGAAAAATATAAAATTTGCTGTATGCAACGGCATATGTTTTTATACTTTTGAGTAATAGAATTTAGGTTGGCTGATGACATTTTATACTTATGACTAATAAATCAATAATATTATACCAGGGTGCGTAGCCAAATCTTTCAACAAAAAATAAGCACCTTTTAAGTACTTTTTAAGCACTCAAAAATATTTTTAAGCACTATATACTACATTAACAAAATGAAAAATTATCTCAAAGACTTCAGATGATCATGATAAAATAACTAGTTTCTGACAAAGAACTCTTTTATTATATTAGCAGTTATAAAATGATCAAGCGATTTTTCGGTTCGATATCAGAGAGTGGAAATTGAAGTCTGAAATTGAGAATATCTTGCAAAATGCAGCAGAGTTGCACATGAGATAGCAAATATCTCACCGAACCCAGCTCAATAGACGCGCATACGAACTCGCAAGCATTTCATCAAACATGCAAAGTGATTGGCGCTTTCATACGCTATGAACCAACGGTACGCCGAAATGAATAAAAATTGAACAGAATAATGTGAAAAGCTTGCTTTTGCTTATACGTGGCGAAAATAGACATGGTAACGAAAAAAATGTTTCGAGAAGGGAAAATTAAGCACTTTTAAAAACACCCAATGACAAAAGCACCTTTAAGGGCTTTTAAATAACGAAAATCGAAAATAAGCACCTTTAAGCACTTTTTAAAAACGCTACGCACCATGAAGACTAATGCTACAATACTAGAGTTCGGTGCTAAATATCTATGCGGTAAAATTAAAATCTCCAAGTCTGAGAAGAATTGGAGATATATATTGTATAAAAAAATTATGGAATTTAAAAGCTAGAGAAATCAATAGCAATAACCGCTGAAAATTCGCTAAATTATCGCCTTAAGAAGTAAATGCTCAAATGCGCGATTCGAATGTTCCCTATTGTTTGAAATATATCGGGATATCTAAAATCCGCGTGAAAATCAACATCAATAACTGCTGACAATAAAATTTAAACATTACATGGAGTTACGATACAATCGGCGTAAATTTAGCGCGTAAAAAAGTGATTTAAATGCTTAACTACATTTGCTTAACTACATGAAAAACTAACAAACTACATAACGAAATTGTACTTCCCTGGTCTAATAAAGAGCAGAAAAGGAGATGAAAGATCCTAGATATATATATGGTGTTGCGAAACCGAATAGAAATGAATCGGACTTGTAAACCTATAGTTTGTCTACGGTAAGAACAACTCCCTACGTGAGAACTAATATAAGTAACTTTTAAAAATTAAATCGTAATTTCATTCATCTCAAATATTTTAAAATTTATATCGTTTTGTATTTTAGAAGTAGTTTTTACTTAACCCACTAACCTCGTTACCATAGTTACCGCCACTGGTCCAGACAAATGGCTAGGGAAGTTCTTCATTTAGACTAACTACAGCTTAATCGCCAAAAGTAAATATAGAAGACATTGATTTTGTTTAATCAAAATTAATAGTTTGTGCAACCCAAATATTCAAAAATAAATGTCTTACAATCTTTATTAAAATATTAATCTTGAATATACAAGATTTTAGAATTGAGTGGGAATTCTGTTCAAATCAACATCCGAGAAGAAAAAAAAGAGCAGAGTTTTAAAAAGTAGACTATTAGATATATTAAATGCTGTTAAAAATATATTTGAAAAAAAAAAGAGTTTAAGTATTTAAATCTATTGTATCATAAAACTCTCGTTTTACTGTTTCTCATAAACACTCAATCGCAATTTTGGAGAATAACAAGCATACCATCCTTTATCACGAAAAATTTTAAGTATGTAAAAGTAGTGAATAATAGAAAAAGACTTACTTTAAAGTTCTCGTCAGATGAGACATCGATAAACTACCTTCCAGAATATCGTAATAGCTGGCGAACATTAATTTAAGATCTTCAGAATTTCTTTAACAAAAAATAAAAAAAAAACACTAGATTTAAAAACACGTACTACATCCATCTTGATACGTAAAGCTTGACGAAATACACTATCTATACCAACTCATAAATAAAAAAAAGCAACAACAAGGCAGAGATATGAAGAGCTCGTTGGAAACCAGTCTTGCCCCGTATTTTATATCCTTTCATATCGATAACGATTGGCAATTATTGTCTGTCAAAGTTGAGTTGAGTTGATGATGAAGTGGATCTATGCTATTCGCGTTTTTGGGGCCACCCTGTGCCGAGCGTTATCGCCGGCCAAACTTTCTGCAGCGTGGAGGTAACGGGTTCGAATCCCGCCCTACCCTGGATGTATCTTCATATTGTCCTTACTTGAATTGTACTATCTGTCTTTCTGCTTGAAAGAGGTCCCGCAGTGGACTGATAGTTAAGACACGGTTCCCAGTAGAACACCGCAGTCAAGCATCACTGACTGCGGTTAGTGTGCCGGTGGGTGACCACTTGGAACAGTCTACGAAGGAACTGAGGTTGTGCGGTATTGGTCCTCGTTAAATTGTTCTACCGTAAAGTAGACTTCGCGAGCAGGTCGTTGGGCTACCGAATCGGGTGTGCCATCCCCTCTGCAGAGGATCAAAATTGTGATGGTATATCTTCGGATCATCCTCAGGGGTGCATCCCAAACCTTCGCCAATAGCCCATTGTGCAGCTCTAGTGTGACGTAAATAAACCACAACCACAAGCCAAAACGTTCTGTAGCGTGGTGGTAGAGGATTTGAATCCCACCCTACCCCGAATGTATATTCGTATTGTTCTTATTTGAATTGTACTATCTGTCTTTCTACTTGATAAAGATTTAAAAGCCGTACTTGTATAATTGAATGCATGTAACGTAATTGAGCACTTGCGTGTAATTGAGCACACAAGCATGCAAGTACCAATGAATAAAATACTCGTATGTAATATATCCTCTGTTCCTTGAGTGGGCTGAGTTTACTTTTCATGGTTGGGAAAAATTCTAGCAAAAGTTGCTGAGGAAATAAGAGGTTGTAGGGTAATTACATTTTTACAGAACGATAAAAAGGGCCTCC